CTGCCATTTTTGATGACTCTCTGGGCCGGTATACGGGCCCCCCGGTGTCCCTGCGCTTAGACCTTTCGGTGGCCCCCATACGGATGCGTGCCAGGACGGTTCCTTTATTGGTAAAGCCAAAGATAGATGCGGAACGTGACCGCCGCGTGGGAGACGCCCATTGTAGTAGTGAACAAACCGAATGGGGCAGTCCGCATCTGAGCGAACTATAAATGCACATTGAACAAGGTGCTACAGGACCACGCATACCCGGTCCCTGTAGTTAGCCACGTTCTGGCCACCTTGGGCGGGGCAAAGGTCTTTGGGAAATTGGATCTGGCCCAAGCGTACCAGCAGCTGCCAGTAGACGAGGCAACTGCAGAGGCGCAAACGATTGTTACACACCAGGGGGCATTCCGTGTGAAGCGATTGAGTTTCGGAGTGAGTGTGGCGCCTGGACTGTTTCAGCAACTGATGGACTCTCTTCTTAAAGGGATCCCCAGCGTCACACCCTTCTTTGATGATGTGATGATCGCCGCCGCCACGCCCGCCGACTTCGCGACTCGCCTCCGTGCCGTGCTCAGCCGTTTCCAGGACGCTGGGCTGAAGGTGAAGCTGGACAAGTGCTGCCTGGGGGTGCCGTCGGTAGATTTTTTGGGGTTCAGGGTGGACGCAGAGGGCCTTCACCCTACCAGAGAGAAGGTGAAGGCGATTGTAGAGGCGCCGCCACCAAAGTCCAAGGCGGAACTGCAGGCGTTTCTCGGCATCCTGAACTTCTATCACGCCTTCCTCCCCCACAAGGCGGCGGTAGCAGAGCCCCTCCATCAGTTGCTCGACAAGCAGGCTCCTTGGGTCTGGGATCCCCGACAGGCCTCCGCGTTCCGGAACGTGAAGGAACTTTTAATTTCCAACGCGGTTTTCGCCCACTTCGATGAGTCGCTACCGGTGGTGTTGGCCTGTGACGCCTCACCCTATGGCGTCGGGGCTGTGCTGGCGCATCGTCTTCTGGATGGGCGAGAGGTCCCGGTCGCGTATTACTCGCGCACTTTATCTGCGGCCGAACGGAATTACGCCCAGATAGATCGTGAGGGCCTCGCAATCGTGGCCGGAGTCAAGAAATTCCATTATTTCATCTATGGCCGGCCCTTCACCATCGCCACCGACCACCGACCACTCCTCGGCCTGTTCGCTCCCGACTGAAGAACGCCACAAGTGATCTCCCCGAGTGTCCTGAGATGGACCATCTTCCTGGCGGCCTACGATTACTGGATCGAGCACCGTCCCAGAAAAACCATGGGCCACGCCGACGCCCTCAGCTGCCTGCCCCTGCCAGATGTCGTGGTCGACCCTGCCCCAGTGCACCGGGTCCTGCAGATGGAGGACCTCCCAGAAGCGCCACTCCAGGCCGCAGACGTCGCCCGCCGCTCTACCAGGGACCCCATCATATCCCGGGTGCTGGGCTGGGTGGTGAGGAGGTGGCCTACCAAGGTAGACGGGCCGGAATTCGCAGCCTTTACAGCTCGCAGGGACGAGTTGTCAGCTCACAAAGGCTGCCTACTGTGGTGAGACCGGGTTGTGGTCCCCAGCGTCCTGAGGAAAAAGGTGTTACAAGCCCTGCACGAGGCCCACCCCGGCATCGTGCAAATGAAGGGCCTCGCACGGAGCTACGTATGGTGGCCGGGCATCGACGCTGAGGTGGAGGCGTGGGTAAAACAGGGCCCCACCTGCCAGGCAGTGAGACCCAGCCCACCAGGGGCACCGTCCCAGTCCTGGGAATCCACCCACACCCCGTGGTCCCGGCTCCACATAGATTTTGCCGGGCCTTTCCATGGACTGTTGTTTTTGGTGACGGTGGATTCCTACACCAAGTGGCTAGAGATCAGCCCTGTGTCCACAACGTCCTCCAAGGCCACCATCCGCGCACTCCGACAGATCTTCACCACCCACAGCCTGCCTGACACCATTGTCTCAGACAATGGGACGGTGTTCACGTCGGAGGAGTTCCAGCATTTCCTCAGCAGCGACTTGATCAAGCACATCAGATCAGCGCCCTTCCACCCCGCGACCAACGGCCAAGCTGAACGTATGGTGCGAACAACAAAGGAAGCGCTGAGCCGCCTGACGGAAGGGGACTGGGAGCAGCGAATCGCCAAGTTCCTCCTGGCGCAGCGAATCACGCCCAACCCAGTAAGAGGCCGGTGCCCAGCGGAGCTTCTCCTGGGCTGGAGACCACGAACCCTGCTAGATCGCCTGCACCCGGACCGGGCCCCAGAACCGAGGGACAAGACCGAACAGAGGGAAGCACCTCGCGGGTTCTTCCCAGAAGACCCGGTGTTCTACCAGCTTAGGCGGCGAATGCTTCCCGAGCACACTGAGGAAGTACCGAGGCAGCGGGCAGTCCTAGAGGAGGACCCTACCGTGGCTCCAGAGGAGGCTCCACCCACTCCGAGACGACCAGCCCCCGGCAGCCGCAGACGTGACCCCGGAACCAGAGGCGGCTGCAGCGGAGGCCCCGGCACCACTCCCGAATTCCAGCTCAGAGGCCGGGACCCCGGAGGTACCCGCACAAACCCCCAGACGATCCACCAGGGTACGACGGCCCCCAACATACCTTAAAGACTATGTCACCTAGGGGAGGTTCCGGACTATGGGGGGAGGGATGTAGTGTCCGCTGACTGCCACCGGAGGCCAGCGCACACGCCTGAGCTTCAGTCTGGGACAACAATGGGGACTAGGATCCTAGTCCCTCCATTGGGGGAACCAATGGGAACCGTGGCGGGAAATTCAAACCCGCCAATGGGACCCAGGGGTGGTCCCCTGGCTGTGTATATAGTTGGCCTGCCAGCCGTTTGTGAGGGTGTCTTGTTGTGTACCTAATAAAGTGTGCTATGCACTACGTCGTCGTCTGTCGTTCTTCCATGCGGCAACCCACTACATAACAGAACTGTTGACTGGCCCAAGGTCACCTGGAATGTTTCATGAGGAGGAGTGGGGAAGCAAACCCGGTTCTCCAGATTAGAGGCCACTGCTCTCTTAACCATTACCCCACACTGGCTCTCCATGTCTCTAATGGCTGCTTTGTCTTATTCCGATGCTGCATTCTCACAGGCTGTTGGTGTTCTGGTCTAAAGGTGAAGGGATGAGATCCCTGGCTGTGTGATGTGGCTGACACTGTCTTTACAGTGGCTCTTCCTTCCATATTATTTCAGGGCAAGCATGAGCTAGACATTAATTTGCTCACTTTAAATGCCTATCTGAACACACTCACATAAATGTTTGGTGGTGCCACTAAAGTACTGACTCAAGACTAACAAAATTTGTTGCTTGCTACTTTGTGCAGTCAGACTAGCAAAAAACAAACACCTGTCTATGTATTTAAGTCATAACTGTTTCATCCTCTTGCTTCTGTCCCCTAAAATCTCAAGGTTGAAGACTCTGTGGAGCAAGAATTTATTTGTCTTCCCTGTTTATATGGACACACACAACCTTCTCTTTGAATACCTGAATCGATAAGTCCTTAACACTTTCTTTGTAAAAATATCCAGAAACAGTTTAAAGCATATGGATATGGATTCCTAGTTAACTGAAGTTTTAAAAAATAGTTTCACAATTTGTCACATATAATCTGATTCATGAAGGAAAGCGGATTAGCCAGATGATGGTGCATCTGTTCATCACCTTCCTGTTCAAAAGGGAATTTTATGTGAGGTAAATAATAGCCGTTAGCTGTTATTTCCTTGTATGAAATTCAGGAGTTACTCCAAGGGGAAGATTTACTCCTGTTATCCTTGCTCATCTGTGGGTGCATTTATTCCCATATCAACCTTGAATAATGCCTATATAAGCAACTACTGCTGTAGTCTTATGCATACTCACTTGGGAGTAAGCCTTATTAACCTCAGTGGGACTTGATTTAAAATAAATGTTTAGTGGATTGGGCTGCACAGGTAATCTTTCTTCACCCCAAGGAATACTAGGAAGGGTAGGTTTTAGAGACCCTTACCCTCTTTTAGAGTTCTTAACACCCTCACCAGTTTCCACGACTCTTTGGAAGAGGCCATTATTATTGAGAACCTCTCTGAGCCCTGAAAGAGCAAGCTATAAATGTTTTAAAATACAAAAGCAAAATAAATTAAAACCAAACATTAAACTTGTGTATAACTAGCATAGGTTTGTGGGTCAGATGCCTCTTGTTACTCTTTGCATAATATCCAACTTGGTTTTCACCAGAATCTCATACCAAGTCAGGCCTGTAGCTACAGTGGGGCATCTCAGGGCCGGGCCGCCCACCCCCACACTTCCAATTTTTTTATTTGTGGCACTCCCTCGGGGGGGGGGGTTGTGGGGGTGTCTGTGCAGGGTGCCCCCTGACATTTAAAGGCCCCTGAATTTAAAAAATCCTGGCTACGGGCCAGTACCAAGTGAGTATCTCTCTGACTGGTTGGCTGTTTTTGCAGCTGTGGTTGTAACTGGCAGGCCGGATGAAAGCTGCTTTATTAACATGGGACATCCAGATGGTCAGGTTCACTGTTGGCAGGCATACCAGCCACATCTGAAGCAGGTTTGAGAAAAATGGTTTTGTGATTCTTTCCCTACAGAATCTGTCCTTTTCTCAGCTGGAGTCCAAGTACATTGCCATGCCCCCATGAAAAATCACTTGGTCACTAATGCAGCGTAGTGGCTAAGGGAACAATTCTATGCAGGTCTACTCAGAAGCAAGTCACATTTTATTCAGTGGGAATTACTCCTAGGAAAGCATTCTTCAGATTGCTGCCTAGGAGACTGAACTTCAAATCAGGCAACCTCTGGTTTGAATTTTAGCCATGAGCACCCCAAAATGGACTTGGGCAAGCCATTTTCTCTCTCGGCTCCCATCTGCTATATGGGGATATTACTGCTGCTCTATCTGACATGGTGGTTTTACGGATTACAACAAGACAATGTATGTAAAGCTCTTTAAACACTCACAGGTATTATGCAAATACTAAGTAGTATTATTTATCTCAGTCATATTCCCTTACCTCCTTCACAACAGCAGGGGGCTGTGAACACCAGAGTAAGCAAAAGCAGCATCAGAAGATTTCCCATCTTCTTTCTGCTTGTAGAAAATTCTTTCTAGGGTTGACTCTTCTCTTGAAAGATCCAGCAGCTTCTCGGGAGCTTCGCTTTTCAGCAACAGTTTATATTCTGTGCCTAGAACAGGCCCCTGGCCAGGGAGTCCCTGAAACAGTGCCATTCTAGTGTCGCAGTATCCACTTCAAAACTTTCCATTTGGGTCAAAAGACAACCAATTCTGGCAGCCATTTGCATGGCTGCCTCAGGCCAAAGGCTTGTAGAATTTCCAGATGACTTTAAGGACTTTTCTTTCAAGGAAAAGCAAAGAAATAAAATAGTTTAATTACAAACATCCTGCGAAGCATTTTTATTTAAACCCGTTGTATAACAAAAAGATACTGTAAGATGGTCTACATTCACTCATTAGTCGATCTTTTGTCACACTGGGACCAATCAAATGCAATCCTAAACAGAGTTATGCCTTTCTAGGGCCGCGGTCACACGCGCCAGTTGAAGCGGAGGAGAAGCGAGGCTATTTCCTCCGGAGGAATTTGACATGCAGTTGCGAGATCACATCTCCCTTTGTAGCTGCGGGCACAACCCGTCACTGTGTGATGAGACGCAACTGTGGGTGTGTCGGGAGTTTGTTTGCCATTTGTTTCCCATGCGCATAAATGAGGGATTGCACCTCTGCACTGAGGGCCCCCCACGGAGTATGCTATGATGCGAAGAGGGGGTGGAAACGGCACCAAGCCGGGATGGCATGATTAGGCCATCCCAACGGCATGAGAGCATGCTTGCGCAATCAGACAGGGGAAAGTCCGTCCGTGGCCCATTGGAACCCTACCCGTTAGAGCCGGACTTTCCCCAGTGTCTTTTAACTCCGCTTCTGTAGCAGAGCAGGAGGGGTTGCTGACGACTGCAGGGTGCTTCCCAGATGTTGCTGTCTGATCGCTCCCTTTAGATCCATCAGGCATTCGCACCTATGTCGGATCTAAAGGCACATGTGATCACAGCCTAAATCACTTGAAGCCAATGGGCTTAGAAGGGTGTAATTCTGCTTAGAATTGTACTCAAATTTTCTTAGATGCAGCAATGTGGATGTCCACTGCTGTTTGAACCCAGCTGCTCCATACATCTAGTTGTTTGTGTGAAGCACCTTCTAAGTATCTCCACTCCAATCTGAAACTGTGGAAAAAGCCATTTTCTGGTTGGCTCTGCTTCCTGTGTTAGCCATTTTGTGGTTGCACCCACCATCCTGTGTAGATTTCTTAAGGTCCCTGCAGGCTCAAAAAGGTTGGGAACCCCGACTTATTGGTTTATATGTCAATTTGTACACAGCACTGATATCTCAGAGACATACACATGGCCTTGTGGATTATCAACACAGTTCCTTTTCTTTTCTTTTCTTTTTTTGATTCACCCGAAGGGGAGTTTTTTATTGATTTTTTTTTATACACTACAAATAACTAACAGAAAAAAAGGGATAGGGGACTACATATATGGGAGAAAGCAAAAAACCCACTACTGACTAAAAACCCAAGATAGGAGATCTTCCAAATGACTTTTTCTTCAAAATCTAGAGTCTTTCATCACTGTACTACTAGTGAACCATGTCAATCTTTTAGCCCTTTTACCCTCCCCTTTCATATTTTCTTGCCCAATACCGTGCCCCCCATCCTCCCCCTAGAACCAAAGTTCTCAAAGGCACAATTCAGAGTCCTTCAGCCTTTACTTCTTTTTCTCTCTCTTCCGTAACTTGTAGGGACTTTTCGGGGCTGCTGCCCCTTTCTCTGACAAAGAGTCCTCACCAGATGAACCAGTTTCCAGCTCACCACTGGACCTATCGTCCTCTTCTTTTTTCCCGTCCTCTGACCTTCCCAGCTGCTCATTTAGGAACTCTTTAGCCTTAAGAACAGAGTCTATCTTGACTTTCTTCTCCTTGATCTTGAATGTTACTCCTTCTGGAAACAGCCATTTATATCCAATTGAGTTTGTTTGGAGGAAGCACACAAGTTCTTTATATTTCTTCCTGCATTGTCTCACTTCAAATGGAATATTCTTTAGCGCTCTGACCTCATTCTCCCCCACCTTCAGTGGGGTCCGAGAAACTGCTTTCAGGATAGCATCCCTGACGTGCCTCCTCGAGAATCTTACCACTATTTCCCCAGGCAGATTGTTCTTCTTTATATATCCTGAATATGACCTATAGGCCACATCCATGTCGTTGAGCAATAAATCCGCTTTTATCTCTGTCACTGGGGCAAGTAAATCACTCATAAGTTCTTTAAGATTCTCCCCTCTATTTTCTGGCACTCCCTGGAAGTGAAGGACCATATTGGCTTTATCCATTTGAACTTGTAGCATCTGATCTTCCAAAGAATCAGTTTTCTTCTCCAAATTTTTCACTTTCTTCCTCACTTTCTGCATTGTCACTGCCATTTCCTTTAACATTGAGCTGTTCCAGCAGAGGGCGCATGACTTCAGTCATAGCCTTCGTAGTCTCACTGGTCGTTTCCGGTCTCGGGGACTCTGGTTTCGCTTTTAACAGTCTCTCTTTGTCCTTGTCCCTCTTCCCCGCCATCTTTTCTTCGCTTGTTTACTTTTCGCAAAAGTTAAAGAGTCTCTGAATATGCGCTTATCTGTATCGCTCGATGGGTGAGTACTTTTGGGCAATCGCGTTTTCACTTTTTCCCGCTCCCCTCCCTTTTAGCTTCTCAGTTGGTGTGCATGGGAGGCGTCCCTCCCCCGCCCGCTTTACTCTCGCCGCGTTGGAAGGGGAGCGTCTTTCTGTTTAAAATTCGATTCTGGGTTGACTCACGTTCATAGCTGGTCTTGCGACCCCTTTTCCTTCATCGTTTTTTGCGCTCGATCTCCCAAGCTTGCCCTGGCCAGCTTCACTTTTACCATTCGGTCTCTCAGCTGAATGGACCACCGGAGCGAGAGGGAGCCTCAATTCCCTGGCATTCCGCCATGGAAGCGGCTACCCCCTCCAGGCTCCTTGGCCAGGCGCCCTCCCCCGGGCTCCTGGGGGGGTCTACGAGCCTGCTCGCCCCCTCCATTCGCCGGACCATGGAAACACCCCCGGAGCGTCCGGGAGGTGAGTCCGTGCCGCCATCAACCGGGAGTTTCACACAGTTCCTTTTCATGTTGTTCATGTATAAAATGCATTTGCTGATTTCTTTCTTCATTTGTATTGGATTATTCAAAATATAACCTATATTATATCTCCAATCACAAAAAGGAACAAAGAAGCATTATAATAATTCATAAAACACATAAAGAAACACTTTCTTACCTTATTATTTCAAAGCATTAAAACACCCCAAAATGCAATAGATGTATCTGAACATTAAAACGTACTTCTCTAGGCCCTTTGATGGTATGCTAATTTATTTAATATACTATTCCACTGATGGTGGAACCATTCACTCTCCAAAGGAAGTTGTACCTCCATTTTGCTGTTTTCACCAATTTAGCAGCAGAAAGTAAACTTAAAACAAGTTCTACATCTGGAAGGGCAACAAGCCTTTTAAACAGCCCAGCACAATAACTTTTGGATTGAGGGGTATATTACTACCTAACAGTTCATTAACAAAACTGAATTACAAATTTCCAAAGAAGTTTAATTTGCAAAGGACCAGAAAATAAGTAAAAAATCTGCCATAGATGAGCCACAGTGCCAACACTGATCCTGCATATTTCTGTATATAATGGCTAGCTACATAGGGTGAGATAGCATTGAAACAAACTTTTAAAGTCATTTTCTTTTAATCTTATAGAAATACATTTAGGTAACACACAGTTCCAAGTCCACCTCCATTATTCCAAATTTGTATGTGCGTAAAGTTCTATCAAGTTGCAGCCATGTTATGGCAACCCCTGCAAGGGGCTTTCAAGGCAAGTGAGAAGCAGAGGTAGTTTCTTATTGCCTTCCTCTGCAGAGTCTCCCTTGGTGGTCCCCTTTCCAAATACCAACTCTGCTTAGCTTCAGAGATCTGACGAGATGGGGCTATACCATGGCGCCTTCCCCTCCAAATCAATATTCACCTGTAGATCCCTATTCCATTTTCTAATGTAACTTAGAATAGCATTTTTTAGATTTAATCACAAGGAATAAACCACCAGTTGCTGATCAGCGCTGATTATAAAGATCAAAAGCTGTTTTTGATCTTAATCTACCTTACTTGAAGAACGTGTTTGGCAAGTGTCTGATAGGGGGTAAAAAACTGCAATAATATTTATTTATTTATTTATTTCGATTTCTAGCCTGCCCTTCCCTAATTTTAAAACCACTTCTTGATAGCTCAACATCTGGTGATCTTTTACATTTTCTTCATAAAGTCTGGTGAATTTTCAAAGCTGCCTGGCATATTTCAAGGTAGTGGGAACATTTTATTACACATGCCCCAGTCCCCCAAGTTATGTGAAGTTTCACAGGCCAGTGTTTATTCAGTTTGGTTCACTTTGGAGGAAAGTGAAGAACAGAGTTATGCTGTTTATGTGGTATTTGGCTTTATTTACAAATACAGAGAACACAGTAGAGCCACAGAGGCACTTTTGCAGGGTAGTAGATCTGCTACCCCCATCAGATCCTCAGAGAGAAAGAGAGAGAATGCTCCTGCATTCCCAAGGTGTTTCAGCCCTCTGAAAACAGACTTTTTATCTGTTTCTTTCTCTGCCACTTTCAGCACCAGAACTGCAATAACATTTCACACATACTTGCTCACACCCTTCAGCCAAGTGGGAGGATCACCTCCCACAAGTCCTGGTGGCTGTTTGACCAGAGCCATAAAGTCCCTCTGAAGGGGATATCTACAATTGCTAAGAAACATTACCATACTTTTTGTCAAATACGATATCCTTAGCCACAGTGATAAATATACGTGCTATAGTTAGTGCTATAGTTTATTGAGGAATCAGAAGGTTCCTAGTATTCAGGCAAAAGCAGGAGTGCTTGCAGAAGGATCACCACAGGAACCCATTTCCACAGATGTAAAAGGGCACACATTCTCCGAGCTGCAGCTATTGAAATCCTACATGTCAAATAAGTTCTGCTTCAGTTGTGACATGCCTGATGAAACAGCTGAGAA